CGATCCAACCTTTTTTTGCCGAGTGCCACGTCAGTATCGAGTTGCAATTGTAAAAGATCAGTCCTAAAGCGCTTACCAAGACGCGGTCTAACAGAGCGCGAATATAGCACTTCGATCAAACATGCGCGACCGCTCCAAGTGTGAGCAGGTACGTATTTGCATGGCTCTTGCTGGAAACTCTCGTAGTTCAAACGTATACCTTCTTTAACATCGGCTCACTCCTGCATTTCCGAGGTTGCGAAAAACGCTGTGGCGGTTTGTTTCTATCTACGTCGCTTTGCAAATGACTGGCACAGGGCTTTTAACAATAATGACAGTTGTGTTGACTTCGTAGCGATGGAGTTCATAGCAGTCAACGCAGCGTTTAAATCATGTTAGCGTCAATATATCACTGTACGGACACGAACCCGACAAGCGGTGGTGGAAAGGCCGCCTGTGTTTATCAGAAACAGCTTTAACACTAAACATTTACACACAGACAGGACAGGACATCCACAGACTGACGAGTAGTTAGACTGTGTTTGTTACTAAAAATCCGTGTGCTCTGAACTATGCCGAGCTCTCCGATTGGTTGTTCACATTGCTGAAGAAGCTGTCGCCATAGCAACAGCACTGGAAGTCGTTGTTTCTCCTTAAGAAATTGTAACGGTCATAACTTTCCTTTGCTCACTTAAGAATGCGTTTGTGAATACTGTTTTCGCCTCATCTTACGATGATCGTAACTTTACGAACTTCGTAGCTTAGTTGTTGTAGGTAAGAGGTTTTTTTATGAATCTGGCCTCTGGGAAATGTGTGCTAGCCTTTTGCAAAGCAGACTGGGCTGACAGGTAGTCATTCAGTGGTTATGTGTTCACGCTAGCTGGCCCTGCAATCTCATGAAGCAGCAGGAAACAACAAAGCACTGTGCTGTAAACCGTCAAAGCAGAGTATGTCGCCATGTGTTATGCTAAAAAGGAAGTTATGTGGCTACTGAACTTCACAAAGGAGCCTGGTGGACGTGAGCTCCTACAGGAACCACAGGTCTTCTAGCCGACAACCGGGGTGCAATTGGGCTGGCGTAAAATCAAGTCACGTCAGACAGAAGCAAGAACATCGATCTGAAGTACTTCTTTTTAAAAGAAAAGGTGGAAGAGGGAAAGCTGCAACTCCAGTACATTGAATTGTCGAGTAACTCTGCAGACCTCTTCACCAAACCCTTGAATGGAAGGATGACCCTCAAGCATTATGAACGTAGAGCTTGGACGTGAGGAGCATTAAGGGGAAGTGTTGGTAGTGTAATAAATCATTACGAGATGGCGCCACATACCCAGCGCTAAGGTCGCACAGATCCTTCCCCCTTTCTTTTTCATATTCCCATCACACACAATAAACAAGGTGGCAGCTTGACAGCTGTGTGTCGTCTTGTGGCTCACGCCAATCCACTCAATCTGCGTCCCCAGAAATGTGGTCACCCTACATACTCAACAAAACCAACAGAGGATATTGTTGCCCAAGTGCCTAGGGAACCCCAACTTTCTAAAGTCAGCGATAGCGTGCCAGCACTGATTACACCACTACCGAATTTGGAGGACATGAATCAAAAGCGTTGCCATGATGCAAATCGGCCAGTAGTTCTGAAGTATCTACCACAGAATTAATTTGCAAGCAGTGATCAAATGCCCACTTTTGTACCTGTGCCACTTGTGTCCATGTCAGTGCCTGTAAGGACATTGACGTGTGAGCCAAGATTGGATTGTACCAAAAAACAAAGGGAACCGACAAGTGACCACCCATATTTCAAGTAAACTGATTTTGTGTACTGGTAGCCACTTATCTCAGACCAGTATGTATTCTGAATTCGTAGATGACAAACAATCCTTTTCTCAGTGGGAGATATTTGTAACAAGCATAAAAACGAAACCAGGGTCAGTGGACTGACAGACCGACAAATGGAGTCAATACGCTACCTTATTCTCACCCCCTTTTAAGGGAAAGCGAGCTATCTACCTAATATGAAAAGCCTCTGCTACCCTTTTGACGGGACAGTACATATAAGAAGCACCCGGACAAGGTGGGGCGTAAATATTCCCCGTGACAGCTGGTGACTGAGTCTTGGACCAACCCTGATTGCTCCAGCTGAAGCAGTCTTGGGTACTCAGTTGCATCTTATCAGTACTCTGTCGGCCTGGAGGCAGTTTGAACATGAAATTGTTTCTGTCTTGTAACATAGCAACAATAGTATGAAGAAGAACCATATCAGAAAATGTACTGTCAGAATAAGAGTCTCGCCAGAGAGGTATGACTGTCTTCAAATTCTAACTAAAAGAGAGGACCCTGACGCGGTCTGAGCTCATTGCATACAGAATACGTGGCAATGTGCCATTTCCGAAAGACTTATGTGCAGAGTTACACTTAGTGCTGTCGTCGGCACTATGAACTAAAATAAAACAAGGCCGCCAAAAATAAAAAGATTACAGTCTAAGCTCATTATAACAGACCTGGTTACAACAGACATTTGGATATAACATACCGATTTGTGAAGTTCGGTTGGTTTTCCTCTATGCGCCATTGACTCAACTTCATATCTGCATACAACATACTCCTTTTACAACAGACCAAAATCTTGGTCAAAACCAAGGTCTGTTATAACGAGCTTAGACCGTATTTTGTTTCTGAAAAAATAGGAGCTGAGCACATAGCACAGCTTTTTTCTTGCGACTTCGAGTCGCCCTCAAAGAAATGTCCCAAAACATGTTTGAGAAAGGGCTAGACTATAGCTTCTAGCCTAGCTCTTCCTTGCAAGAAAAACATGTTTAAAAATTTGAGAAAAAGCTTTCTCATGCTTTTGGCTTATCTCTAAGTAACATCTAAAAGAAGCTAAATTACTAAGATTGCCAGTATTGTCTCATCTAAATTGCTGTGTTGCCACATTGCACATTTCTAATCAAACCACCTTGTAAAAAGCTAATTTTACATCTCTTAATTAGAAAAGATGGCACCCTCACCAGCTCTCCTCCACATAAACAAAAAAAGGGGTGATGGTGACGAATCCAACATCAGCATGGTCCCTATAAAGCCATTATGGCAAATTCAGAAGTCCTTACTTATTTTAGGGATGCACCGATCTGCATCTATGCACCAAGTAACTCCTCGAATCACAATTCCTGAACTCAGCATCAACCATTTTGTGCTAAATGCTCAATGCTGGAATAGCAATTTCTGCAGTGTTCCAATGATGACAACACTACTTGCACAAGCGTGTCGCTTCACTGGCATCCCCTTTGCACAAAAGTGTGTGCGAATGAGGCACAGGTCAAAGTCACCTGTTTACACAGCAGTATGGTTTTGCAGCACTGCAGAAACCACATTAGTCTTGACCATAGCACCCCATATGGGGGAAACCCTGCGGGTTTAGCACCAGAACAAGAGCCCACTTGGCAGTGGTAAAAGAAGGAGGAGAATGAGAGAACAAACATAGGACTAGTAAAAGTGTGGCAACCAACTGCAAAACTAAATGCCTCGTGATTACAGGCAACCATATGGCGATAATCAGGGGCTCCACCAAAGTAAGAAGTTTCTCAAGGATGCTTCTCTGCCCCCTCTGGCACAGTGCCCCTCCATGCCTGCCTCGCTCCTTTTCTCTCTCCTAGGTTTGGCGGCCAGTTTTAGCACTGACCTCTCAGGCTTTCCCCCTATATAGGAGCCTTGACACTGTAGCACAACAACACTGATGCTGAGTATAGGTGTGGTATACACGGGCGGCAAAGAAAAGCTCACCGGAGAAAAGCTCACTGCAAAAACCAGCAGATGCGGAGAAAAGCTCACCGACCTTTGAGCGGATGCGGAAAAAAGCTCACCGATTTTTTTTTTTTTTTTAATTCTTTCTTAGCTTAGCAGACAGGGTGTCAGACGTGGCAATTTAACACAATTAGAATTTGTCACTTCATTAAAATAACTGTCTTCTTTTTTGTAATAGTCTTAAAGTTTATTGGGCATATTTACTAATTCCCCAGAAATTAGTTATCACCCATTCTGTATATTAATGACTCCGCAAGTGTAAAATCTGAACATGGGAAACCTGTAAAAAAGACAACAACTTATTGACAGCTCGACAGTACACCGTCGGTAGCCCTGTCAGGTAAAGATGTTTGCTTTTTCCGAGCTATGAATAGCGGTGCGTGAACCATTTTCGCTCTAAGAATGTCTGGTGCCTGATAAGTAGGTGGTCTGTTGAAATAATCAGTGTAGGCTACGCTGTTTTCTTACTGTTATTTTCAAGATCCAACCTCCGGCTCAGACAAAAACACAAACACTGACACCTCACCACCACCACACTCCCGCATTGAGGCCAGGCGCCTGGCCTCGGTGAGGGGGTGTGGTGGTGGTGCGGGGGCTTGGACAGCAAGCACCAACAGGCCCCAACAAAGCAAGGAAGCTTGTCTTTGATTCGCTGTTGGCCTACATTAGAACGGCTGGTGTAGCCGGCCTCACATAGTTCTCCCTCCCCCTCCTCCTCCCCTTCTCCATTTCCCCCTCCCCTCCCCCTTCGCAGCAAAGCCTGCAACTGGCTGTGTCGTACCCTCCAATACCTAAATAAAACGTTTTCAACAACAACTAATAAAACTTTAGTAGTGAAAAGAGCTTCGTCCTGTCGTGTTAATTGTCTTCACTCCGTCTTCCTCATCTGAGCGGTTGTCATAATGTATAACATTTACCAAATCGCCCTTGCAGAAGACTATAGTTCTTACATACATTTTCTTTTTATTGAAAGCTGACGAATTTTAATGATAATAGATTGATATATGTTGCGCATGATCAAACAGCCTTATAGAAAAGAAAAAGAACCATTGGTGAGCTTTCTCCATATACGCTCAATGGCCGGTGAGCTTTTCTCCACATCCGCCAATTTTGTAGTGAGCTTTTCTCCAATATTCGGTATTCACACAAATACAAATCTGGCAGTTAAACACTGAGAGGCCCACCTACTGGCCATTCCTTGGAGCTCAAAAGAGTTGACTCACATTCCACCTCAACACCGATGTTCCTGCGAGCGCCCTCGCCCACGCTGTTGTCGGCGATGCAGTAGTAGGTTCCGCGGTCGTCCTTGGTCACATTGTAGATGTTGAGGACGTTGCCCTTGTACTCGGTGCCGCCGGTCGGGAGTAGGTCGTTGTTCTCTCTCCTCCAGAACACCCTGGGAGTCGGGTAGCCGCCAGCGTAGCACTCCAGGGACACATTAGTGCCCGTGCTGGTGACGATTGACCGGGTGCTGTTGTCCGAGATGATGGGAGGCACTGCAAACAGATGGCATGGTTAGGCTAGCCAAACATTACTGTGAAGACGATTTTGATGAATCCACCATCCTGTTACATCCTGTCTTATAAAGCACAACAACCAGACACTCATAATAAAAGGCTACAACAATATAAGTAAAATTCCGTGTTTACTGAGTTTATTTTTTGTGAAATTTGGTGGGTTGTTTTTTAGTTAATTTTCCGCTGAAAAATTGGGTTTTATCCGAGTTTATTTTTGCGAGATTCAAAAGTCCCTGAAATTCGGAGTTTAGTTTTACTGTGTTCTCAATTTTTCAAAAATCCAAATAAAGATTTTAAAAAAAGAAATTCCAAGGATACCTAAGCATTTCTTATGAGTTGTGAATGTGAAAGCATGAATGTCATTCTTCCGCTCTCTTAGTCTGTCTGCGGCGTACTGGCGTGGACAGCCACGTTTTGCTACTGCCAAGGTAGCGGCCGACGGACAAGCGCACTCTCGTGAAATGGCCGCGCCGCGCTGAGCTCGGCCATGCAGCCTCTCTGAAGTTAGCTCGTCTGGGCTCCGGGCCGCTCTGTGCACTGCGCCGCCATGGAGAGGGCTTCTCTGGTGGCGTTCCTTGGAACTATCCTACACAAGAACCAATGGGATTCTCGTTCCTTGAAACTATGACGCGCACCAGCCAATGGGAGCTTATCCATCAGATTTCTGCTACAGAAGACAGGCTTCGCTCCATTGGCACAAAGGAAAGTGCTGTTTAGCGCGGCTACAAAAGCTGATGAAGTCAGTTCGCTCTATGGGACAGTTAATGCTTTTCCATTAAAAAAATCTAGACATAAACATACCCTTAATTTATCAGAACTCACTTGCATAACATGACAATAATTAAACTCCTGGGCGTAGTCACTGGGAAGCATGAAAGCTTCAGCAGCCCTCCCCTCCTTTAAAATTAATGGGTTCATAGCCATCGCTGTTATAAAACACTACCCTTCCCCCCCCCTCTTCCTCTAAGAACACAAATAGTACAGTCTAAACTAGAAACCTAAACAATGGCTGTTGCTGCGACCCAAAGGTACTACGACCCGTTGTACTGAACGAACCTTGACGAGCTAAAACGTAAGCCCCCTCTTGTCAGTAGCCTGAAATTCTAAAGGAAACTATAAAGTGGCCCTTTCCTCAGGACCAGTGGCACTGTGCTTTCATAAAATTTATTTGTAAAATACTGCCTTTTTTCGCTTTCTGTTTCGCTGTTTTGGTTAAATCCAAATTGACAAAAATATTACTGCCGAGTGTTTTTTCTGATTTTTTTCAAATTTAATATAAGTTATAAAAATTATACATTTAAGTTTTCCTTCTTTCAAAGAACAATTGTTGACAGTAAAAGCCTGCCATCTAAAGTCAGAAATGCAGCCACTTTTTCTGAGTTTCGTAGTGCCTTGTCGCAATGAGTGCACCATGAAATGTGTATTTTTTTTGTTTGTTTTCTGCCTGCACTACAGTCTTGAAAGAGACCAGTAGTACAAATAAAGAAAGAGGGAAAAACTTGATATTCACATGAAAAACAATATATGGGACGTTCGAAAGACAAGAACGGCATTTGCTTTTACCCTAAAAGGATGAGGATCAAGTACCCTAATTTTAGGATGAGGATCAAGTACCGCCCATGACAAAATGCTGTATGAGGGGGAGAAGGGAGAGAAGGCCCCAGCAAAATGGATGGTTTTCGGAGGGGGGGGGGGGGGGGGGGCCAGGACCCATGGCCCCCCCCCACTCCCCCTGGCTATGTGCCTGGCGCCAGATGCCGAGAAGTTGAAAAAGACACTCCGCCATTCTCATTCTGTCGGTGACATTCACTTGACGTCACTCGCTAGGGGCACTGGCATCAACCACTCCAGTCACCATCTTCGAGGTCTCCTTGTATCCCACGTAGCTGTCGGTTGTCGTCTGGCCAGACCTTTCAGCGTGGTTTAGCAAGATTTTACGACTTTAAAGGGTCTTTTTGGGCAAAACTAGGGATTATCTAGTTTCACACGGTCGCAGTGGACAAGTCGTTAGCAGACTTGTCCACTGCGACCGCGTTGTTCTATCGGCTCCGTGCAGCACTCCGTTAAGGTGTTAACACTCCGTGTCGTGCACCATGCTCACGGCGGTAGCTCTTGTGCAAGAACTGTGATTTTTCTAATTTGGTGCTATGGTAGCACAGTCTATTTACTTTTTGTTTTTTTTTTGCTGGTTGTATTCCTTCCTTGTCTCTAGCAGAGAGTGTGTCGTCCTCTTTTTTGTGTCCTTCTTTTTCCTTCTTTTGGTGTTTCTGGTTTTGTTACGTCTGCAATTCACCAGCTGGCCTGTACTTTTAATCTTCTTTCAGCGGACTCTCTTTCTTTACTTCGGCCGTGTGACCCTGTTGCTTCATCGCCTCCGTGTCGTACGTCGTGCCTACTGCGTTCGTTCCTGTGCAAAAAGATACCGCACCGCTCACCGTGTACGCCGCTAAAGAAAATGTGGCGTATTTTTCGTTGGCGAGTGACACTTCCTTTTGAAGTTAAGGCTGTCGTCCTCTCACACCTGTTTGTCACCACTTTTGGGTGATGAAAAAGCCCACTTTAGCAAAGTTTTCATCTATAGGCTTTTTCCGCGTGTGGTTAGAGCATTCTACAACCGCGCAGTACACCATCGCTGAAACCATTTAAGTATAAATTGCATATAAGCAATTCGGCGAGCGACAAGACAAGCGACGGTGACCCATTTCCTTTCACTCCGTCACTTGCACAATGAGGCAAACCGCATGAAAGCAACGGGAGCAAGCGACCAAGGCGATGAGCAACGCTATCTAGAAATCCAAAAACCGAGCGACACAATGAGCAACAGTGAAGGCTGAACCACACGTAAGCTATTTAGCAAGCGCCGAGACGAGTGACGGCGACAGTGACGAGTCAGTGACAAGCGATGGAGATTCCTCACGGTCGCTTGTCGTGTCGATCGGTTTTTGGATTTCAAGAAATCGTCACTCATCACATTGGTTGCTTGCTCCAGTCGTTTTTATGCAGTTAGCCTCATTGCGCGAGTGACTGAGCGACAACGAAGCGGGTCGTCGTCGCTTGTTTCGTTGCTCGCAAGAAGAAGAAAATAAATGGTGCTATGGAGAATTTGGCAGCCTTGAAATGGCGCCGGCTACTCCAATCGTTGCTCGCAAAATCATTTACATGCGGTTTATAGTGGAAAAACCTCCGTCGCTCATTGCTGACTCTCGTCACAGACTTGCGGCTCATCTCGTTGCTCGCTAAATTTCTTACAGGTGGTTCAGCCTTTACACACGGTACTCGGCGGCAACAAGAAAATTAAAACAGCCGGCCCCCGAGATAAAGTTTTTTTCTCTCTTCAATTCAACGAAGCTTCTTCAACGATACGAAATTAACACACGCTACCAACGGACGCCTGCGTACCAAAGTCAGACAAACCGCGACACGAAGATGGCGCTCCCTGGCAATACAATACCTGCAGGATCAGTGAGTACCCCCTATAGGTACTTTGCAACCCTGCTCATTTCTTCACACTTTTGCTGCAGACGTTTTTCCCTCAAGAACCATAGTAAAACACAGTCCGCCTCCTTGCGGAGCATTACTAATGTCCCCCATTATGTAGAGAATTAGAATATGTGCAGGTGCATTTTAGATTAGATATATGTTATCTTATCAAGACGTGCACGCCTCAAATGCCAAAAGCATCGCTTCTTCCTCCGACAACCAAATCTTGCAAGAGCTACTTCGCTTTGAGTATGAAGAATGCGTTAAACTTGCTTTTTGTCTTGAGGTGAAAACGATTATAAAACGTTAATAAAAAGAGGTACCCATCCCATTTGGCAGAAGGAGGACGTTGGACGTACCTCTCACGTGGACCCAGACGTCGGCGGTGATCTTGCTGGTGGCACCAATGACGATCTGGCACTGGTACAGCCCAGTGTCTGTCTCCTGCAGCTTGGTGATCTGGAGCGTGTAGGTGCTGCTGGATTCGTCATGCCGAATGGAGAACCTCTGTCCTGGCACCACAATCTTGCTTCCAGTGGAGATGAACAAGTTGTTATTGCCTTCATTTAGCTTTACCCAGATTACCTGAAAGAAAGAGATACTACGGTCGACTCTCGACAGTTCGAAGCTCACAGGTACAGCGAAACACTTATATTAAGCATACTTCAAATTAAAAAAAAACACACACTCAAACCATTTTTTTTTTGTGCTATACTCAGCAGGAGAAGTTGATTTTTGCTTGCCTCTGCTAATGAAGATGTAGAGTTTTAACATTGCTCTGCAAATTGCAAACCTTTCTCGGGCCACATTTGTTAATGTCTTCACTAAAGAAAACATAAAATTGTAGCCCACGGTGCCACTAGCAGTTTCCACGTCAGCGGTACTTGGCCAGTTGGCAAAACATCTCGTAAGGTTAGGTGATGCCTCGCGGCACCGCGGCGCTCGGATCTGGTCGGAACAGAAAATGCCGCACAAAGCGCCCATGGCGCACCTTGCTCGTATGTTCCCTGCTTTAGTCGTGCGTCGCACTCATTCCCTCTTTTCTCCAACCGCGCACACAGAAGACGAAAGCGATGAGGTGAACACGGGTACAATTTATGCTTGATCAGCATAATCCCAAGACTTTTTCATGCTCCCAGAGTTGCCAGACTTCTCAAGCATGTACAAAGGTTCTTCGAATTAACCAGTCCAAGACGTTAAACTTATAATTACCACATATTTTTTTCCCAGGCACTTGTGTGTGTAATTATCGGGACCACGCCCCTGCTTCGAACTAGCCAAAACATTGAATAAACCGAATGAATTACCGAGAGTTATTGTATTTTTAACGGCTGGCATGGAATATGGCACTGCAACCCTTACACAAAGCTTCCAACCAAGAACCTCGGAAAGCCTGCTGACTTTCTCAGGCTCTCGCTAGACACATTTCTTATATGGTGGTTATGGTTTGATAGCTAGATGCCACAAATAAGAGCTGCATCAATGAACTTCCATATTTTAAATTATTATGTACACTGCAGTGGTGCTTCCAAGAAGTTTGCAAATTAGTTTTTTCTTTTTGTTTTTTCTTTAACAGTATTCAGAAGTTAAAGGGGGTTGCAAAAGAATTTTCAGGTAGTTAGATAATAAACACCACAAACTCCCAAATAAGCACCGTCTGGTGTACGAAAACACCCACACCGTTTCCCTGAGTGAGGTGAAAATACCAAACACTGCCCACCCCATCTAATTCAAGCGATGTTCGACGAGACTCCCTCCATGCCTTCCAAGGAGCGCAAGTTTGTCTGCTTCTTTTGCAAGGGTTTTGGTGACGTCAGAATGCCAACCTATGATTGGCTCTGATCGAAAGATAGTCGGTAGACATCAAAGCAAGCTGTCTTGATGTCTATCTACTATCCTTCAGTCAGAGCCAATCAGAGCTCGGCATTCTGATGTCATCACAATCCCTGTAAAAGAAGCAAACTTACACTCCACATAGCTTTTTTTACTGAGACTGCGATGTAGCAATATGTGCGATAAAAAATATGAGGAAAAGGGAACTGTTAAGTGATCAATGAAAAAAGAATAAGAGGTAAAAGTTGGCCAGGATGTTAACCTGAGACTCAGGTACAGAAACTTAAACTTTTCAAATTGAAAGGGACAAGCAAAAGAAGACAGACAGAAAAATGTTTGAAATGTCTGTCCAACTTCTGTTCATCATGCCTCCCTTCCACTTATGAAAGTTTCACTTCTCATACCCATCTCTGGTTATTTAACATCACGCTCAAGAGAGTTCATTTTCTGTTGTCTGCCCCTTCCACTTATGAAAGTTTCACTTCCCAAACCCACCTCTGGTTATTTAACATCACGCTCAAGAAACTCTTTAGACTTCTTATTTTGTTTTATAGATCAGCCTTCAATGTTTAAATGAGAGGATAATAATTCATATATGAGGATGAATGAATCAAGTTTGATCAAATAAAAAAGGATATTTGAAACTCGCCAAAAACACAATAACTGCAGAATCCAATTCAGTAGTAAACCTGGGTTCAGATTCCAGCTCAGCCAAATATTGTTTTTTGGAGGCTTTCAAAGTTTAATTTCCATTTGGTCAGCATAGTTCGTTTATCTGCATATTTGGATTATTTACTCTCCAGAGACCCCCAAAAAACAATGAATCTGCCCAATGAGAGCATAGTTAAATAAGTTAGGTTATAAACCTAATTTAACAAGAGTGAATAAAATTCTAATTTCATCTCATTATCATGGCCTATATACTCCGTGTCACTAGTTGTGTGCAGTGCAGGCGAAAAGAGAAAGGGCAAGCACTTGGAAGACGGGACGGAAGAGGAAAGCAATGGAAGCTGAGGGGAGAAAGAAACCTCTTCTCCACTAGAAAAGTTTGAGAGGAGAGGAGGTTTCTTTTTTTCTCCCCAGCCTTTCCAGTGCTTGTCCTTTCTCCCCTCGCCTGGCGTTGCCTTCAGCTGTACTGCACGCAACTAGTGACACGGAGCATAGAAGGGGTGGTATGACGACAGCTTGGGCATGGACGGGTTATCACCAGTGTTACCGACTGTTTTTTGCAAAACTCCCTACAGCAACTTTTAAAAAACTCTGCACGTCCCTACATTAACCACAAAAGTCCTTAAAGGGGCGATGCAACAATTTTCGTACTTTGCGCAAATACCACTTAGAACAGATCCCTGACGTTAACGACCTATGAAACACACGTTTGTTTTTCACTTCACGCAATAAAAGTCCCAGAAAAAAAATTTAAAAAAAACGAGCATCGTTCACCCCCCTCAACTCGCAGCCAGAACAAGCGATTATATGCCGCCAATGTTGATCATAGCCACGCGCTGGGGTTGGCGAAGCACAGGACACGCGCTGAGTTCCAGGCACTGTTATGGCTCGGCTTGTCGTCATTGCAGCGATTGGACACGGGCCACTACCCGAATGCTTCCCGAGCTAGTAATTATCACAAGCCCAAATCGAGTGCCCACGTAATGCTCGGGTCCAATCTATGAATCGCATTCAATATTGTCATTGGGCTGTACTGCCATCCCCACAGTACGTCATCAAATTTTGCAAAGGAGAGATTGAATGAAAATGATTGCTTTTGTCCTTGAAATTACACCGCAACAAAAGAATTTCTTGGCCAGAGACATTGTGTGCGAGTACCCCTGAGTCCCACTAGTGCCAGTAAGCTTGTGTAAAGTGAAAAACATTCCAATTGAATATCGTTGCACCGCTCCTTGAAATGTGTCCCTACTTATGGGAAAACTGCCCGGATCATAAACAACACAATTAAGCACACTCTTGCAACCGAGTACGGCCGAGAGAGACGAGACTTCTTAAAACCTCTTAAAATTTCTTAGGACGAGAGAACACACTGGCACGCTGGCGCCATCTATGTGATGACCCTGGAACTGCCTTCCACAAGAGTGAAGGTTTTGCGGGATTTCCGAGGTCAAATGTGCGTAATACCTATGATAAAGGCTCGTTTATAACGTTGACAAAAGTTTTTCAAACCAAGAAAAAATAATGCGCGAGAGAGATAGAAAATATGCTAGACCACAAAGTTTACAGCGCTACCCAATAGATGGTGCCAGTGTGTCCTCTCCCTTTAAGAGGTTTCAAGGAACCCAGTTTTAACAGGTCGCAAGAGTGTGAACGCGCCTTTAGAAGCTTCAGATGTGCTACTGCTTAGTTCTGAAATAACTACAGTTTTGTTTTTTAACAGTGTGTGAGGAACATTCCTTCAATTTGACATTTTAATTACTTGCCTGTGAAAGCACTGAAAAGCCCACAAATATATGGAGATGAATGGCACCAGCAACCAGGAACGGGCCCCATTTCAAAATCAAAGTTTAGAAAAACAGAAATTATGAATATGATAACAGCAAGCCCTAACCTTTGGCATCCGGTGCAGACCACCATTGCTATACCTGGACAGAGACTGAGCATTCGAAGATGAATAGTCTATTTTTCTTGTAAAAAAAAGAAAGAAAAAAAAAAAAAACTTTTTTTGGGGTAATGCTGAATATTGTTAACATACCGTAAATGACTTATTTTTCACGGACTAAATATTTTGCGATTACAGCGCCGTTCACACATATTCAACCGAGTAAGACCGAGAGAGACCAGACCGGTTTTTAAGCCTCTTGCGACGTCTTAGGACCAGCTCCACTAGAGCGCATCCGGTCCTGAGACGTCGCAAGAGGCTTAAAAACCGGTCTGGTCTCTCTCGGTCTTACTCAAGTGCATATGTGTGAACGGCGCTTTAGGTCAAAGCTGAAGTTTTAGAATCATTCGCGGGTTCTAATTTTCATGTCTCGGTGGGCTCTCAATATAGATTTTAATGGGCGCGTCCAGTCACCTCCCTTGCCTCCGAACGGAGTGACTTGAGTCAGAGCTCTCTGAATTTTCTCATCGGAAATCATCACCAGTCAGGAAATAACGTCATCTTTAGCTCCTTTGACTCTACGTGCACCGTCTCAGGACTCGGTGCTTCAAAGCTTGACTCCGAAGCCCCAATGTTACGTGCACCGGAAGTGACTTTTAGCTGTCTAGTGGAAGGAGTCAGTGACTCCTTGACTCCGAACCGCTATTGAACGCGCTTAATGTGTTTACATTTTACCGGAATCATTCGCGGGACCTATTTTTTGCTCATTGTAGGCGATTCCCGAAATTTGCGAAAATTAACTCATTTACAGTAATACACTCACATTCAGTTTATCACCACCAATGCTAGGGCCTGCAGTGAAGAGAAAAAGCTATAAATTACAACATACTATTTTGTTTATCAAACAGTACTTTTGTTTTGGTGCTGGCAATGTTTTGCAACATCCCTTTCTCTCTCACAAGTTCTCATCCAATGCAGAAAAAAAAGTTCTCAAAGCTCAAATTTGAATATTGTGAAAACTGGGCTTACTGAAAGCAAGAAAGGCACTAAATTGTTGTTTATGATGACTACAAACATAATATTAAAACAGGTTTACCAGCAATATAAGTACATTGCTAATGCTTCCCACTTTTGAAAACCGTTCTTAAAAGTTGGATGAAAGTTATGGTAGACTTACAGAATACTCAGATATATATTGAACAGAACACTCAAGGTCCACAGTGTCCCCAATGTTGACGACCCTTTCTTGGCTGATGGACGAAATCACAGGGCTCTGTTGGCAGGAGGCTGCAAAGATAAAGACAGGTACAAGGCACACAATCAATTTTAAATTCTGTAGAAACCACCTACATAACAAAGAATTCATTGTAGGAAACAGCGCGAAAAACACGAGGACGAAGAAGAAATACAGGGGACAGTGCTCGTCCCATGTATTTCTTCTTCGTCCTCGTCTGTTTTTCGCGCTGTTTCCTACGATGGATTCCCACCAACTCGCCCAACTATCCGTTCTTCTAAAGAATTCATTTCATTGAACCGAGCTACCAAATGTTACTTAAACAAACTGCTTTAGCAACAAGTGGGCTGCCATTACCGGGAGGTTAAGATTTCAGTACTTCTTTTTTAATACATATTCCTTGGACTAACTTCAAGAATAAGGAAAAGAACAGACAGTGCATGTGGAACGGTACAACTAGACAAAAGTGCCTTGGACACCAACCCCAATCATTTCTTATTATTTATAAAAAGCTAGAATCCAATGTCAAGAGGCCATTCCAAAAATTCTTTGCTAGAGTGTCCTGTATTTGTTGACAAGAACAAATATATTCAATCAAAACCAAAGGTCCAGCCCAGAGGAATGTGGCAAAGAAAACTCCTGAAGTCAGGTGAGCAGTTTCACATACCATACCTATGCATTCAAGTTCTCTTTAAATCATCATATTCTATATGTTCAGGCAGTCATACAAATTATATATTACTGATTCGATTAGATTTATTAATGAGGCTGTGGACGGCTTATATTAAATATCGAAATTTATGTTAGCCAAAATTTGTTCGCAACACCTCTTATACCGCAGCTATTGAAGACTTATCGAATAACATCACTGATCATGGATCACGCCAAATAATGAAATGGTTGGAAAGAACAGCGACGTTTTTCACATATTTCCAAATTTCTGTGGAGGTACTGAATCCCATTACACAGCATGAAAGCTACAATTATGCACACCTTCTGTAGCTTGCAACACACACAAAAATAAAAATCAGTAATTCCCCACAAGATATGAATCATTCAAGCGGGCGCCACAGTTTATCGGAAACATGGACATCAATGGAACAAGCAACTAGAAAAAAGATGGGGCATGTGAATGTTGTGGTCGTTTCTAGAGATAATGAAGAGCAGGAATCCTACTAAATTGATGAAAAATGAAAGTTCATCCATCATGTTGTTAGGATAGGCTTGTACTTGATGCAAAGATTCGGTAAGACTTGTGCCACTGTAGCAAGTTTGTTCAATTGCTTTGAGAGACGGGATTAAATACGATAGTTCTGAAGCGGGCCTGCAAACCATGCGAAAAATCCTGGCCAAATCTGTATACCTCCACATATGCTATACACACATATACACACACGCGGCATCTAATATGCCATTTGTTATTTGAATGTGCCATAAATCTAGCAAAGTAAAAAAAAAAAAAAATTACAGCAGTATTTTGGTTATAGCTGGCAAAATTGTCATAAACAATGAGTTTTTGAGTTGATAAATCATTGTGCTACCATTTATGTACCGAGACTCATACCGCAACTTCCGACCGATGAGAGTCACTGAGGCACCACACGTGTGGGAATTCTGCTATGGTAGGGACGCTGTTCACTCGGTCGTATATATTCTGCCTCTTGCTTTTGCACCTATGTTTTCACCAGGTCACCCTCGCCAAACGTGTGCGCTAATACCAGCAAAGTAGGAAGGACTCGTACTTGTCATAAATTTTCATAAAATACTTCAGCTCCAATAACCTGCCTTAAAATGACACAGGTCTCGTCACTGGAACTGAGCACTTTGGGCAATGCAGTACAACAAATATCCTGCCCTACATTGATTTTTTTTTTTATTCAGAACGTAAAAGCATGTCTGGCATGAGCTCTTCGCTCTGACTAGTGCAATGTTCCCATTGTGTTACAAGCAATTCTTGTTTAAATTCTTTGTGCAATCACACATACTGTAACATCCTGAAATAGCCCAGAAAGAGTGAAAGCAAATCAAGCGAAAATATGGAGTAAGCTAAAGGTTTGGCATGCGATCAAAAAAAGTTGAAGAAATGCTAGTTTTAGATTTTGTGACCTGCGAAACTCGTGATGCAGGGAGGTAGTGATGCACCAAAGATTACTGTCATTCCCAGTCAGCAATGTTTTGCGTATCTCTGGTCGGTGTCACCATTGACCAGGGCCCTGCAATTACTAGTAGAAGTGGGCTATCTTTGGGTGTTTCTTAAAAGTAGCAAATCCTACGGAAAAATTTAGGTGGGTTATCTTTAAGGCCCCCCCCCCCCCCCCTTGTGGGGCACCCCTCTGGATATTTCCATATAAGCATTAGTAGCATACAAGGTACAATCGCATTAATTTCCACACAAACAGACGTGTTTAATTATTTTTTATATTTTTTTTAAGTAAGTGCTACAGCCCAAATTTGATCACAGAGTACCTGAGAAAGAGAATATATTCTGCATAATGCGTCTCAATGGAGGTGAGCAGATGACACTCGAATAATAACTCCGTGCAAACATTCGAAAACCATGACCCGGCCTTGGAGCCACGGTAATGCAAAGGTATTCAAGCGGAACAGGCGCATCATTTGAATTGATTAATATTCAGTCGTAAAGTCGAGTCACGTTACCCAAAGCTCAATCGCACGCCCGATGTGCGCAAACAAATGTCGCTGCGCGCCGAAAGCTTATGATTCATCGCCTTAATTCCCAGTCGCACAAGGAGAGAAACGCAAAAAGAAAGAAAGAAAAAGCATAACTCCATGAGCGCCTGGTAGATCGACGACACGCCCCGCAAATAAACAAACACGCAGTAGCGTTTCCGAGTCAAGCAGCAGAGTAACAGCCTTCCCATCAAACTACACGCAAGGCCACCATTCCGCTGAGTCACCGGTCCGTCCATCCCACCTCCAGTCATCTATCTGGCTGGAGTGCCTCGCGCTGGTCTCTCTCTCGGCGTTTCACTCTCCGAGATTGAGCTCGGCCGCCAGACCACCTACAGTCAGAGAACGCTCAGCGAGGTGTAAAATTGCCGTCCATCGCTTCTTTCCCCCCGTGGCTGATGCGCACGGTGATTAGAAAGTGTACCGTAAGACAACAAAAGAACTTGGGGAAGGGGGGATCGTGCTGGCGGTGGCGGCTGTGGCTCGAAGCCGTGCAAGCAAGCATGCACGCCTTCGGTCGGTGGCCGTGCCGCGGTGGGGTTGTTGCGTGTTGCGGCGCCTGGTGGGCACACTCACAGGCGGCTCCACGCGTGTCGGAGGACAAATTGAACAGCTCGCGAGAAGGTGCACCGCCGTTGAATCCTCCCCTTCGACTTCTTTGTGGAAGCAGCTGCATCGACCTGTGGCTGCTGTGACTGCAGCTGCTTACGTGCGATAGACCTTCCCGTTTTTCCTGATGCGATTATCTTTCTTTTTTTTTTTTTTTTTTTTTCTTGTTAATTGTTATCATAACGAAGTTCGGTGAAATGTACGAGTGCCTTCATACTTTTGTGAAGAGAAAGTAAAGGGCAAAAAAGGTTACAGGCACGTAATCCTGCCTGAGCGGCCAAAACTGATAGAGACCTTTACTGGGAGTGGAATAAGAAGTCACGGCACTATACTTCGTTTCACCTTCAGTCCGAGCGCAGCGGACGCTACGAGCCATCCCAGCCAATCCAGCGCCGGGAGAGTATCACGTGACCTTGGGGTTGGGCGGAGCGACCATAGAATTATTATAATGTACGCTAGAGGTTCAACTGGCGCTAGTGTCTATGCGACTTCCGGGGGGCAAATTGAAGCAGACAGCAACCAGTCTACTTTTGCGGTGCTCCCGTGCATTCCTATGGGAAAACGCGCGTGAAATTTGCCTCTGCGCCGGAAAATAACACGAATGGCTTTTATTATTTCGGTTGTACCGGATAGTATGTACATTTATTAATGCTGTAAAAGTGTAATTGCTTTAATTACAGCAATTTTCTTTACCAATAAACGATGTTAAGCTTCGCTATATTTCAGACCCAAACCTATGTTCCATGGCAGGTATGTAAAAACAAGCGACGATTCTAAGCAAACTAACGATCGAAAAGAATGTAGAGTGTGTTCAAGGTTCGCTAGCATTGCGGTGGCGCTTATATATTGCTAATATGCCCGTCCTGTCACTCTATGAAAATGACTTTGTCGTGCATCTTTACGACGGTTAAAAAACATTCGAATGTAAGAAATAAAGTACGTGGACTACGAAAGGTGTGCTTTTTTTATTATTTCCTATGTCGGGCAGTTCTTATCGGGCCCCTGTTCACTGACTTCTCCCTATTTGCAAAGATTTGGAGCGTGCGGTTGATGATTTGAACCCAGAACATGCATCTTCGCACATAGCCATGAGCAGAAAGAATAAAGCAGTACTTATTTATTGCAAATCGGACTATATTAGGTGGCTTTCAATTTATTTTTATCGCCTGCATGGACAAGGAGTTACTTATCCAATGTTACTGCGTAGTTCTTGCCGTCTCTCTTGGTTTTCCACATGTCCTTCGTTCGTTTGACACGTATATCCATATGGTGGAAAGCGCCGATGCCATGTTCGCGCTAACAGTGTCCGACAGTGCACATAAATACACGTACGAAGCCGTTTTAGCACCGTTTTTAATCCGATGAATTTGAAAGAAAAACGCCGTAACTGACTAATTATTTCGTCGGTCTGACTGAGAAATGTTCCAAGCTTCCTAGTACGTACGAATTATTCGTGATGTTTGCTCTTATATTCGAGCGAGGAGAGAAAATGTACTCGCTTTTTCCCATAGAAATGCATTACCGGAACTCAATTTCCGACTGGTTGCTGTCTGCTTCAATTTGCAGCAGCACACTAGCGCCACTTGAACCTCTAGCGTACATTATAATAACTCTATGGGAGCGACACGCGGAGCTCGAGATCACGCGATACTCCCCCGGCGCTGGATTGGCTGGGACGGCGCGTAGCATCCACTGCGCTCGGACTGAAGGTGAAACTAAGTATAGAGAAAGACAATTCTCATACTATGGCCCG